GAATTTTTCGCCGATCTTCGCTCGCGCGTCAAAGTGTCTCGCTGTTATTATTTCTACCTTCGAGGACGCGCGCCCCTTTTGTCTCTCGCGAGTGTCGGATTATCAATCGTGCGAATCACACACTTTTGCTCAACAAGAGCGAGAGATGTCACGTTGTTATTGCGTTTAATTCTTGACTTTCTCTGTACAAGAGTACTCATGCGCTGCGGACTGTGAAACTTTTCTCGCGCAGTGACTCGTTACAATTTTTGCGAGAGTTTTCGGACGGTTTTACGAGTGCCTCTTCCTCGTATAAGCATTCCATTCTCTCTCCGCGACACAAATTGCAACTCGGAATGCGCGTTTTGCAACTTTGATACATCTCTCTCGTACAAAAAGATTTACCTTTGCGTGGCACTGTTTTTTTTTTCATTTCACGATAGAAACCGTGCGATATATAAAAGGGGGCGTATCGATTACTCTCTCTCAATGTGATGTACTTATCTAGAATAAGCGAAGCCGCGATGTCACATTGCGTTGACGCTACGCGATCGATGGAAAACGCTATCGAAGCGTATCATTTAACAAATGCGAGAGAAAAAGCATTTTATATATAGCCGAGGGATTAAACCTTCGAGAAAGTACTCAAATTTAAATCCAGACTTCTTCCGCGACCGATTCTCCGTCCGATAATCCGTCGAGTTTCCGTCCGTCTCGAATTATTCCGGTGGAGAGACCCGTCGCGTAAACTCCGCGCCGATGACAAAGACGCTTTATATTATTTCGAGCTTAATTTCGACTCGCATTATCTCGCTCGAGTGTCTCCCGATATTATTATTTCAACTGCGAAGGCAAAAGCATCGATCTGGCCGGCGCCCTGTCCCTTTGCGAGAAACGCAGACGAAAGATTTTCCTCCGGCTTTAATGCGAGAGGCTAGAGAGACGGAATACGTATAAAGAGAAAACGCAGAGTTACGAGAAGGAAAGAGGGACGGGGAGTGAATGAGAGGGAAAAGGTTAGGTTAATTAAGGGAAGACTTAACGACGAGGGTTTGTCCATTCGTACTTCTTCCCCCCCCCCTCCTCCCGTTACCGCCTTCCCCCTTCGCACCCCATTCGCCGAGGGAGTTTGCCTTGAACTAACGCGGAAAGTTCCGGCGTGGATTTCTGAAATTCTAATTCTCGTTCCTCTAATCTGCGCTATCCTTCTTTTCACTGACACCGTCGTACGAGCTCGCTAACTTCAAGAATGTTGCCGCCCCATCTTTTTACAGAGAGAGAGAAAGAGACAGCAGGCAGCGAGGATAATTACGTGTAAGAGCAATCTATGTCCTGGATGCCCTTTGGACGTCCTCAGGACATCCTTGTGCTGTCTGGGAAAGATGCCCTGAAATTTCTCTTTTGTAATTTACCATTGGGAGATAGATTTTATTACAAATGTTCTCACGCAGCTTCTCTCTCTGCTTAAAGCATCAGTATTTTGGAAGTGAAATCGTGTTTCGCGAGATCGCTCTGGTGCAACGACACACATTTCAAAGGATGTGCGCGAAACTGTATTATGCTTTGCGCGCCGGCGTGTAATATACTTACGCGATTACGGCGGATAATAATATTGTGCCCGTATATACTACAAACACACACTCATACACGGAGCGTTGTAACACGATAGTGTAACAATACCGTCGCATTAGCGTAATCTGTAAGACGGCGCTTCACGCGCGCTAACTGTGTGCGTTAATATATCGCCATTGTGCCTGCAACAACTTACGGGCGTAGTCTATCATATAGATGTTACATAATTACCCTTTCGTTCCTTATGTATTATAGATATGAGAAGCCTTGTGGCCGATTGTAATGTACTACGCATAATTACCGCTAAATTAATATTCCGAAGATATACGTGCTTGAGTTTTAAATAAAGATACCTTCCTGTTGCAATTTTGTCAGAGATTTTAACGTGTATTTAATTGTCTGCCTGTTAATTTTCTAAATTGAGTATAATAGTAGTACGCTATAATCCTTTAATCAGCATCTTGTAATACACACAGCGATACAATGTTGTCAAATAAACAGGTGCATAAATTATATGTCTGTGTGTGTGATGGAATTTCGTATATATGTAAATCGTAGCGAGAATCTTAATGCCTGCATCCCTCGGAGAGATTTAAGCGAACGAACAAAATACGCTGTGGAAAATAACAAAAGGTCACACACGTCGAGATTTGCCCAACTGCGGTGACCGCATTCATGCAAAGTTAAATGTCGAAGAGTTTAGATACGTATTTCTACCGGCGTCTCGGCACCGCAATATGCAAGATAGGAAAAGAGATAAAGCGAAAGAGATACGCTCGGACATTGCATCGCTCTAACGTAGATAGGACGTTGCCGGTTACCACGGAAAAGCCCAGGAAAGTCGGAGGTAGAGGGAAGGAAAGTGAGTGTGCATGCGTGTGTATGTGTGTGTGTATGAGAGAGAGAGAGAGGGGGGAGGGGAGAGAGAGAGAGAGTGAGAGAGAGAAAGAGAGAGAGAGAGAGAGACGCAATCTGGAACTCTCGGGAACCAATCTTCTCTGATGAAAATACCTTGTCCTCTGTGAGGTTTGATACCGCACCCGCGGGGGCCAATTTCATTCGTTACTTTTTGGAATACCGCGAATACGTTTGAATTGGACGGGGGTCCTTCCAAGGCAGATTCCAGGAGAGCATTTGGAGGATACGTGTCGAGGGCAAGCACGTGTCGACAAAAAGCAGAATCAAGATGGTCGGAAAATGGATTGCCCTTCACGAAATCGCGTATACAAGATATATCTTGTACAAATAGAGAACTCTCATTTCGTAATAGATGTTCCTTAATCGATTTAATCGATTTGCATTAACGGAATTTTAGCAAAAGAAAATTAATTATACATAAAGATGATGGAATACTAAAAGCCGGATTGTGACCTCCTTCTAGATATTTTTGTTAAGGAAAGATGAATTTCCACAATTCGCGGAAAGGTATCCATCAATAAAAATTTCCGTCCGTTTATTCTGGGATATTCTGTATTTGTTCATCTTATATGGATATTCGATATATATGGAGTGTTTTCAGTTGGACATTTCAGAAACACTACGGTGCACACTCGGCTATTACTAGAAAGGGTTAGATCGCCCGAGGGATCAGCCGAGAAATTCCACGCTGGTCGCCGGGTCTTCCCGGAATCTGCACTGCGACACTTACATTCTCCATCTTTTCTCTATCTATCTTTCTTTTTTTTCTCTTTATGCCTCTTTCCTTCTCTTTCTTTCACTATTCCGCTCTTCAACCTCCAGTCGACAGCGAAGGCGGCGAGGAGAGACGGCGGGATTGGCGCCAAAGACGGATTCAGGTATCGAAAGGATCGGGAGCAGGATTTTCCAAGTTATATTCCCGCCGCGAGCTATCCCGAGATTCGAATGTACTCCGTTACCGACCGCTTTGAACGGGCTTCCGTGAAAGTTACACCTTCTCGCGTGTACGACGTGTACTTTCTGATCAACTTGCACGGCGCAGTAACTCTGTATTCGCTCGCACACACACACATCTCTGAGTAAAGAAAGCGCATCCCGGATATTACTCTAAGCCGCAGAAAGGATACAGCGCGGGTTGAAGTGAAATCATCGACAGTCGCGACATTTTTTTTATAGACGTCGTCTGCACGGAACACTCATGTAGAGCTCGCCCTTCTGATCCTTCGAAAGCTGGAATGTCGTATTTATGTATGGCGAATTCGTCATCCGATCTCGAATCTCGCGATCCATCCGTAACGAAGTGTTCGAAGAAGTGTACATGTGATAGCCACGTGTCATAAAACCGGCACTACGCATGCACCAACGCTTTCGGGATTGGCTCATGCATTTTTCAACGGTCGTAGCATTTGTTTGATCAGATGTGCACCCCCTTCGAAGGCCGCACTTTTCGTCGGGTTTTGCGAGTACGTGCCTGCGAATGTGAATGGTTGTGTGTGTGTGTGTGTTTAAATAGGTAGACGGATAGTAAACGCGCGGCCCTCGGTCGCAAGTTTGAGACTCGAGAACGAGAGATCGATCGGATAACACGCCGCCATTCCCTTCTCTTTGCCTCCCGCGAAATAACGACCCTTTAGTACTCTTCGTGTCACGCGTTCGATCTCATCGTCGCGAATCGTTCCTTTGCAGCTTGATCGATTTCCCTCGAGCAAAACCCGCTATTTTTCCCTTTGCCTCCCGGCTCTCGCCTTCCCATCCAACGTCCGCGAGAGAGAGAGTGTAACACTCGTTTTAAGAGTCCTTTTTAAAGCCGCGATAAATTAGTCTGTCACGATTTTTTTTTATTAGGGAGAAAAGCGGTGATGTACTTTTCACACAAATGTTGTTACTGTTCTGCCATCCGTTGTATTTATTTATGCTGTATGTAACGATTTACTGGATAGATCTAAAGTTTCTAAAAGTTCCGTTTCTAAAACCTTTCGTTTTATATATTCACTTCATATTTTAACTCTATTATCACTTTCCATTATCGTTTATCGTTTTTATACATACGTTTAAAAATGAATATGTTTTTATATATATTTTATTTTATATATATTATTATTTTTGTAAACTTTCGAGAACTTTTTATATTTCGCAAAAATGTAATAAAAATATGAAACACGTCTGATAAAAATATGGTATTTAAAAATAAGGGCAAAACGACCACAATTTAAAACTGAAAATATAAGTTGAACAGAGAAAATTATTGGCCAAATAAAACTCTGATCAAAATAAACCTTGCAAAACAATGTGAAATTAATTCGATCTTTAAAAAATTCTTTTTTGTTACTATTTTTATTTAGAGAATCCTGTGAGAAAGTTTATCAAATAAAAAAAAATATACGTGGAAACGAAAATATGAGGGGCGACCAAGCTGTCGTTTATAAAAAGAAATTATGCTCGTATGTCCAGTTGCAACGAACACCCGTGAACAACGAGAAATCGAGAATCACGATAATAGATGAAATTTTTTTGAGGTCGATAGTACTCACCGATCACGGTCAAATTGTATCGGAAACTGCGCGTCTGACCCTTCCGGAAATCCACTCTGCATCGGTATGTCGCCGCATCGTGCCGCTTTATATCGTCGATCACCAGGACCGCCGGGCTCGGAAAAGTGGTTCGGAAAAAGGCCCGTGGACCGAAAACGCCGGCGTCCGATGAATGCCGTGCCTTCGTCACTGGTTTATCTCGCGCGTCGATCCTGTAACGAGAAGGAAGAGATGTCGTTAGAAACTTTTTAAAATCAATCCTAGAACGCATAGAGTCATGTATAACACCCACACTAGACAAGCACATAGTATTTTTCTCTTAGCAAATTTGTAAATTGAAATTATTCTTCGATATTTTATTATTAAATTTTATTTATTCTATATTATTTATATTTTTATATTATAATAATATTTTATATTTATATTTATATTTTATATTTATATTTATATTTATGTTAAAATTTATACACATTTTTCTTATATCATTTCATATCTTTATAAAGATGTTTTAATTTTCAAGTCAACATTCCATTTTTCAAATCTGCATTATTATATCTCGAGATTTTTTTTTCGTTCGAATGTAAGAAAATTATCAGAAATTTCGAGAATTCGCGGCACGATCGACGTATTTCAATATGTACATAGAAAACGATCGCAATTTCCGGTCAGTGAAATTCGAGGTTCAGGCAAAGAGATTTCGTGGAGCGCGACGCGGATAATAATATCGCGCGCTGAAGAAGGGGAGGAGAAAGGGGGTTGAAAGTGGCGTTGAAAAAAATCTGCGTTGCGATTCATTGACCGCCGCAGCGAACCGTGGTAGTATCGACTATTACCCGCTTATACGAGTTCGCGATATAATTATTTCAAATCGATGGAATAATTATCGTGCGCGCAGGGAATGGAGCGCGGCGTGCAGGTAGCCGGCGATAACGCAATTAAATCGCAGCCGCGCGTTATCCGATATTTTGAACGGACACCGCTCATTTCCGTTTCATCGATATCGCGTAGATACCACGCACATAGTCAAAGAAAAATAACAAAAAAAAAAAAGAGAAAAATAAAAAAAAGAAAGGAAGAACGGTCGATCGGCGCCGATCGAATCGAACCGCGGCGCCGGCTGATTACAATGGATAATTGGAAAATATAATCAAGCCGCCGATCAATGTAATCTACGGCATTTACGTTATATTACGGTTTCACGCTCGCATGAAATACGCACGCGCGCGTTTTGCGAAATTGAGAGAGTTCGTTCGCTGTATATGATACTCGTTACCCCGATGGTTGAATAAAATTCCAATAACTATCTCTGCCAGCAATGTTTCTTAAATTTGAGATATAAACGGTAAGAAGATTTTTTTTGCAAAGCCGTGCTAACGATACAACAATAGTGTACGAAATAAATTTGCGAATTGACGGAAATCAAAAGGAAAGCTACAAATGAAATGAAATAAAGAGAAATATTCCGTAGTTGATTTTTGCCGTTTCGTATTTCGCAATAATTCCGAAATGAGATTTTATACGAGAGAGCACGTTCAGCGATTCCTGTTTGACATTAACTGCAATTATATGCTCGCGTAATATAGTAACTATATATTAATGGAAACGTAAAATATTCCCCTGTAGCGGCGCGGTATCGGCTTTCGTTTGATATAAATGCAATGTCAAAAGCTCCCGCTAGCGAAATTACTGTATTTTATTAACGAAAGTGGTGATATATGCTTTACACGTGAAATCCGCGATTAGCGTGGAAGAGAAGAATTATTATTATTGTCAATCTCTATTTAGCCGAGAGCAAGACGATATCGTTAGTCATATGATCATAAAACCGCATCGCCGTAATGACATTATACGATTTTGTAATTATTTAACAAAAGGATATTTCCTCTCGACAAAGATCAAATTCGATGTAACTGCGATTATATTTCACGATACACATAACGATAATTATATCTATATGTCTCTTAATATTTGCAATATAGAATAAGTCGCGCGATCCAGATATAAAAATGCGTATGTGATTTCTAAATCATATGGTTTCCAAATCTGTGAGAGAAGAATTGTGTGAAGAGTTTCGTTCGTTTATTTTAAGTGTAAATCTTTTTTGCTTCAATTGTGCGTTCATTGAGGTTTACGTGTAACAGCGTAAGAAAATCTCTCCTCTTCTTTCTTAGATCACCATAACACGATAATGGGATGCAGTGGATGCGGCCGGGGACCGAAAATAGAACAAGCGATCCGGAGACGAAGGGGCGAGAAAATACGACCGAGACGCAATAAGGAAATGCGTATCTCTTTCTCACTCCCTTTATATGCTCCGGTGGAGGACCTTCTCCTTCGCAGACGGCACTCTCGATTCACGTCGGCGTGGCGTCGGGGTAATACGGAATCGATGTCTGTTTTATGAAACGTTTTATCTTGCCGCGCAGCCAGCTTTCCAATATTTCGTTCGACTAGTTCTCTCGTCCGCCTCGTTCGCGATCTTTGCCCTCGAACTATCGTTTCCTATATTCTCATCGTTCCTACGTTCCGCTTCGATTACATCTTCTCGAGAATGATATATATTTTTTTAAGCTAGAGATGTGTGCGTAGTTTCGAATCAGGACTCATTTTTCCGGAGTACAAGACTACACTGAATTTTTTCCGAAGAATAACGCGAATAAATTTCGGTTTCCAGATATAATATACATGTTTTTGATGTTTATCGATAAAATGAGAAAATATCTTTTATAGAATTACGATAGCATTTTCGAAAATTCAGCGACTATACGGTTTAACAAAAAATAATTTTTTTTTCAAATATAAAGAAAAGAGTGGTTTTGTAATTCTTTTAAGCTGAATATGATTCCGTCTTCCAAATTGTACCATCACGTCACAATTTTAAGAAATTTTTCATTAACATTTAGAAGGAAGCTATTTTAATTTTTAGATCTGATTAAATACGAATGTGATATCTCAATATTGGCAAATTTAAATTTAATTTATTAGAAATATAAATTTCTGCAAAAATCTTTGATTTTTATATTAATCCCACCACATTAATTAATTATTTTAAATTTATCAATTTTGATATCAGATTCACATATCTATTTAAAAAACTCTTAAATTTGGATAAAAATAATTGAAAATTGTCTAGTAGACTTTCAATGTTCTAATTTGCAACTTTTACATAACAGATCCCATATTCAACTATGAATGTTTTAGTAACCACAACAAATTCTTTTCGAGGATTGAAATTTTAACAACACACTACAAACATACTACACTTTGTCTGTGATCGCAATAAAACTTCTTCAATACGTTACATACCATAGCTATCACATGATAAAATACATTAAAAATTATATTGATTATATTTTTTTATATTAATTATATTATAGTATTGGTTTTTTTACGGACTTTTTATGTTTAGAAAGAAATATAAATAACCATTTTTAGTTGGGGGAGGCCCAAAAAAAAAGTTATAGACCAAAAAAGGGTAATTATTTTGAATAAGATCTTTTCTGAATTTTGACAAATATGATCAGATCTCTCGGTCAAATTTTTTATTGTGACTCCAACAGTGATAATCAGTCGAGGGAGCCCGTCCCCCATCACCCCCACCCCCCAAAAAACAAAAAACCCCAAAAAATACCGAAAATTAGGTAATTATAAACTATAAATTTCACTCCACAATCCAAACCAAATTTTAGTTTTAAATCATAAATAGGTTTGGGTTAGGTTATATCTTCCCTAAAAATGGTTATTTATATTTCTTTCTAAACATAAAAAGTCCGTAAAAAATTTGCAGCCCAGTTGCAGGTGGAGCCGTGATTCTGAATAATTACCCATTTTTGCAACTTTAACTATAAATTTCTCAAAATTATTATGTGATGCAATTTAAAATTCGGACTTGTATTTAGCGTCAAAAAAACTACGGGAAATGTATGTTCTCTTTTTTGTATATGTGTTTTTTTTTTGTTGAACAGCGTAATATCAGATGGAAAGATTAAGCACCACAGCTTTAAAAGACGATAAAATAGAGAATAGTCGTGCGGCAAATAACTGATGTGTAGATAGATAGTATCGAGAATTCGCGAGCAAATGTTATACTCCTAGTCGCTAATAGATTTCGTTCACGACATAGAATATTGAGCGAGAGAAAGAGAGAGGGAGAGAGAAAAAAGGGGACATCCCCCGTATTTAAGGAATCTATCTTTTTACCGACACGCATAACTGGAAACGTGCGGCATCGTTTCATATATTTAGGTTGGATAATTTCGGAGTACAGTCGAATTCACATTTCCAATATACCGTCCTAATCCACGGTCTCGTGCACGAGTCGCTCTCCTTGTCTCGTGCTTTCCCTCCGCGCGCGTTTCCCTTGCTGGCGTTACGCTCTGCGCCCCCTCGTAAAAATGATAAATGCCCGAGCAAAGGGTAAATAGCAACGGAATAAATATAACCGTCCGTTAGCGGCTACTTTGCATAGCGTGCAAGAAAATTACACGTTTCTAAATATTTATTGGCGCATTAATTTCGTCACGCGTGTCGTTAACCCTCGCGCGATGCGAGGAGGAAGGAAAAGAGGGAAGTAGGGGGGGGGGTTGATAATAATTCTGGTCGCATCGTTGTTTACTGTGGCTCGCCGCGATAAAGTCGTCTGGAAATCCCTTTTACCGTTTTTTAGATTACATGAATCTCAAGAGTGGCCCTTTCTCTCTCTCTCTTGCTCTGAGTGCTTTTTAATATTTTGCTCCGTTTTTATTCGCACTCCCCTCGTGTGCGTTTGCATATGTGTGTGCATACGCAAGCCTGCCCTAACCACCCATCCTCCTTTGCACACGCGTCCTTTCCTCTCTCATCCCCCATCCCCCGGCCCTTAGGACAAAGAGTAAATAGAGAGAGAATAAATGCGTGACACCCGGTTTACGGTACGCGTACAATAAAATTCTTTTTCTTTTTTAATTCACGTAATTCTGTGTTAATTTCTTTCGCAGAAGCCGTACTCCTTCTTCGGTATTTTACGATCATCCGGTTAAATTATCTAAACTTTTGTAGCGCTTTTATGACCGTCTTCATCAAGTCAACGAGGCTGTTGCGTTAACACAGTAATAAGCAGACGCGATATTTTTTTCATGAGAGAAACCTTTTTATCCTTTTACACTATAATGCGCAAATATTACGCTATTCTAATGAATCTTCTAAAGGAAGTCTACTTCTATTATAAATGTAA